GCCGTGGTGCTCGTCTCAGCCGGTAAGAACACACTTTGAATATCTTCATGTATGAGAGCACATTGGAATGGACAAGTTATTCACTATTGCTGTTAGAATGCTCTTTATGAACCTTGCAGCGAGAACATATGATCTATTTGAATTTAATCAACATATACACAGCATTAAAACAACTATTGATGTATTTAAGGGGCAACCACACTACACATTCAATTTGTTAGAGCAGTCCCTCTGATGTGATTTAAAACATTCTTAAAGCCCTGCTCTGTCTGACATTGACCTTTTCTCCCCTCTTGTCCCGGCACAGATCGTTCAGGGATCCAGGACCTGAACTCGGTCGAGGCCCTGCAGGACAAACTGATCCGGGGTCTGAGGAACTTGGTGATGCAGAACCACGGCGAGGAGTCGTCCACCACCTTCACCAAGCTGCTGCTCAAGCTTCCCGAGCTGCGTTCACTCAACAACATGCACTCGGAGGAACTGCTGTCCTTCAAAGTGCACCCTTGAAATCTTCCTGAGGGGTCACACCTCCAACTAATCCACACACCTCCACCAGGACCTGCCTCTATCTCCCCCCTCACCCTCCCTGTTCGACCAACCCAGTTGTTTGTTTCTAGAATGTATTGAAAGTTATTTTTTATTCTATTTTTGTTAAGTCGACCATGTGGGGTCTGAAGAGAGAAAAATATGAAACATGTACTGTATTTATAGAAGAGATAGCTCGTTGCACACAAACACACGCAAGTGCATGTGTGTGAGAGGTTCTTAGTTTTGCAAACTTGGAGGCGCTTTTCAATTCTCCAGAGAACAAAGAGTACTTAAATGGCTTTGTGAAAAGATATGAGTAGAAACCAATTAGTCGATTCCAAAGTGTGTTCTCTGATGAGCGGGTGAATGTGAGAGACAATATGAACCTTACATACCGCATGTTTGTTTGGTCCAATATTTGACTGATACATGTCGCAAGGAAGGCAAGCTATCAGAAAATGTATTGAAGAATGTGTGACGAACGCTGCTAATGCATGGCTGTATTTAATGCAAACTATTATTACTTGGATCTTCTCCCCTTGCCTCAGAAAGCATCAGTTCAAAGTTTCAGCATTTAGTGTTTTTATTTAATTTTTTACTTATGTTTGTCAACTGCCTGTACACTGCCTGGTGATTTCTGGGGGGGGGGGGTTAATGACGCCATGTTCAGCAACACTACATTTGCCCATGTTCTGGAGCAGGAAAACCATGTAACATGTAAAGGCTACATGTAAACGTTTTTGCTGTTTACCCCACTTTCTGTTTTTTGTGTGTTTTTAATCAAAGTTTGTGTGCATTCAGCATAGCACTGAATTTAATGTGGTTGTCATATATTTTGTTGAAATATCTGTTTCTTCAACTGGCAACAATGCCATATGTAAATATCTATATTAAAAAATATATATATGAATATAGAGTATAAATATGATATAGTATGAATAAATACAAGTGAAGAATACTCTTTGTGTTTTTATTAATATCCAAGTATTTTTGCACATATCAATCTTCAGAGTAGTAGCGACTGTTATCCACTGGGTGGAGCTATTGTTACACCTTGATTTCAACTCACTTGAGAAACCATGTTAGTTTGTCTTTGCAAGTTGTTGCATAATATGAATGATTTTATTGTCCAATACTCAATAAGTAGCTTCTCTTCAGAGAGATTCTCTTATTTACTTGTGAATTTCAAATCAGCTGAGCTGCATTTTTCTTTTCTTTTAAAGAACACACTTTTCTCAAAGCCTTCTCATAGGCATTTCATTTCATTCATCCATGTCATGGCCATTTCTACTGATAATAATTCCATTGTTGAGGTATACTAAAATAGATGTATATTGTTCAATGTTCCAAACTCACATTGGTTTCTCATACAGCATCTCTGTATAGTATGTGTATTCACTGTCCTAAACGGCTTGTTGGAGCTCCTCCCTCCCCCTGCTCAGAATGTATGATCATTGTATTAAAAGATATGTTTCAGAATAACATTTATACTTATTCATAGCACACACATTCTTACATAGCACACTAAAGATACAACAAGGTGACATCTAGGATTGATTAAAACCACCTCGATGCAGAGCAGGTCCACAGATTTAAAGCCAAAATTGCAGACCCAAAACTTCAAAATCTCTAAAATCTGGCTGCAGAATTCCACACACATTAAATACACTAATTGTACCGTTGCATGGTAAAAGCAGGAGCTACATATCAGTGAAAAAGTGGCATAAAACAAATCACTTAAAACAGCTGAGGATACTTTTCTCAGATATTTAACTGTAGGCTAATTTATTTTCAAGTCAGTGTTTTAAGAGTGGAGGTTGCGTTTGTATTCAGAGCTCTTATGTAAATTGTCAGCAAATATTTACGAGTTTAAAGTCCAACGATCCATGAGCAGGCTGCACAATAGTCACTAACTCGTAGCAATTCATCATGCACAAAGTGAAAACACCTGTGGAGGATCATCATGTGCGTGTGCAGGTTTTTTCCATGTCATAAATTTATAAACCAGGTAAAGAATTACACTTAAGAGGAATAACTGTGTTTAGTGTGTAGACAATTCAAATATGTTATTATAATAAAAAAAAGTCATTAGTTTTTGGTTCAGTATAGAATTGCCTGCACAAACATTTGATCCTCTTTGTATCCAAATCTTTTTTTTGTTTTATTCAAATGTGACCACACGACATCAACATCCACTCTGATCTCATGGAGAAGAAAATGAGTCAGGTAAAGAGGAAACTAGGAAACTAGAGCATCTTGCAGGTTTTTATTTTTTCTACTTTTATGCTTAAACTTGCTTGAAAATTACAATTAAAAAAGTGAATGCAGGATTTGATATGTTTTACGAGACATAAGGGCAGGAATTCAGAGGGAAAGGAGCAATTTTGAGCTCAGCTCTTAAAAACGGCTTTTTTTTAAGGTCATACGTCAAACGCGTCATATTACATCACACAGGGGACACATCTCCGCTCTCTGACCGGGTATAGTAGAGTTGCGTTGAGTAGAGCGGTTGTGTTTTAAGGAGCTGGTATTTTTCGGTAGTTTTACATTGTATTTCACCATTTGTAATCATGGTGCAGTATTGTGTTTGTGCAGGTTGCACAAATACCAGCCTGTCAGGACATCGAGTCCACAGTAAAAAGGACCGGAGCTAGCGTTCGTTCCTGGGTGCATTGTGCATCCACCTCCATGCAGCACATACTCTCCACAGCTTTATCAGGAAACCGTATTACTTCTCTCTCCCCCCCGCACCCTTCGCTGCTCTCTCTCTCTCCCCTCCGGTACACGGCACCGTAAGACAAAGTGTGGAGTTTCATTAGGTAACGCTGTGGTGGCTGTACTGCTCCAGCCGTCTCCTTTGTGTTTCCCCCTGTCTGTGTTGTTTGTGTGTGCGTGGTGGCTGTCACTCCTGGCTCCCGGCTCAACCTCCACTTACCTGCTGCAATCAGCTGTGCACCCTCCCCGACTACACACCTGCTTTCCATCAAGCCATTTACAACGACATATCAACGGAGGCTCCACAACCTTTCTCCGCCAGATCGTCAAGTATCAGCCGTATCTCGCGTCTCTCCTCCGGTACACAGCACCGTAGTGTGGAGTTGCATTAGGTAACGCGAGATACGGCTGATACTTGCGCATTAGTTTCTGTTATGGATCAGTATCAACAGTCCTGCCAGTAACGTTACTATATTATCAATGCTACTTTAGTTATAGCCTGATATATGATAGCTAACTTTACAATGTTGTGATGTGACGTTAGCTAACATTCTGTAGCTAACGCCGGTCACTCACCAAGATAGCTGCCCAGTTCTCCACTGGTTCTTCTCACACCACAGCTCAATTTCTCTCCGATGGCCGTTATTTCTTCTAATCCTTGGCTGCTCCTGGTCTCTTGGACGCCTAGCAGGCTCATAATTATAAGGTTGTGGTCCGTCATATGCATTCGAATATTCATGTTCAACTTCTTCTGTGTCTCCTGTGTCGAAACTAGCATTGGGATCCATGTTTATTAATACGTTACACCGGCCGCTCTCCCCCTTGTGTCCCCCGTGTTACGTCACACGCGGGAGGTCACGTGCCGAGGCTTTTTTATGCGGAAGTGAACATTTCTTACAAAAACGACGCCAGATGTCACTGTAGTGTATATTTCTGTATATTTTTTTGAAAATCTAGTGTATTCATCATTTTCCTACACATTTATTCACAGGTGTCTTTAACCTGGAAGTTGCTCTTTAAGCAAATTCTGATGTTTTGTGTCAGAAATATGAGAGAAACTAAACTGTGATGGAGTGTTAATGTTCAAACATTTTTATTACAATTAAATCGCACCCTGTTCAAACAGATCAGAATAAAAATGTTGAATGTGTCACAAAAGGCAAATATCACATGTTTAAATGACAGGAAACAATAGAACACATTTGTCTGATCTAGGATCCAACTTTCTGTCCTACAACCAATGTTACTCACCGAAAACAAGCCATGGGAGTGCTCATCATTTTCATATGAAACCCTGGTTGCAAAACGCCACAAGGCATCTTTTATTGTTTCTGATTTGTTTGATTGCTTCGGGTACATTTTCTTGAACCTGATCACTAAAAGCACAAACTATAGTAGCAAGCTTCAGAAAATTTGCAATTCAAGGCTTTCTAGATCGTTAATTCAAATCTGAGAATAGACTGAACGTCAACATACACTCAGTGCTGATGATGATGTAAATGTGGCAAAACATAAATCTCTGATATTATCGGTCAAAAATAAAGTTGGAATGAACTAAACAATTTCCACTTAGTATAAAACATCTGAGTGTTCAAATAGTTCAGATAGGCTCTGATGCAAAGTCAGCCGCAGCAGTTAGTTGGACATTTTCAAATTCTGGCGTCTTTGAAAAGAGCCAATTAATATTCAGTATAATCCTTTTTTGTCTTTTTAAACCCTTGGGGATAAAGAGATGTTTGAGTGTTTTAGATTTTAATTTAGGCTCCTAAAATAGGATCAAAAACTGGGATTTTAACAACATTAAGTTGTATATAACATATCAATAAAGGCTGGTGCATTTTGAGGAAAAGCAAGTGCCTTTAACTCTCTTCTCTATCGATATATGACTACTGTTGTCTGGTTCTCAGGACTTTCGTTTGATCTGTAATTAACTAAAACCTTTGTCTTAAATTAAGGTTTTGGAGATCTACAGACATTATTTAAAAAAATGTCTTATATATGCACATATACAGATAAAGCTTGTATTGTGTATATATATATATATATACATATATTTAGATATCTATATATATATATATATATAT